GTCTGCCCAGATCTTTGAATAAGAAGACTAAGGAAGGAGTATATCAAAAATCTTAGGTCCACCACGATGGGCCTCAAATATGGCCGACTTAAATTCCGGTTTATCAGTGTCGTTCTAATTTTATTTAAAAAATGTAAAACTATGATGTAGGGTAAACGTGAGGTAGACTCTATATTTTTTTTTATTTTACGTTGTGAATAAATGTTGGTAGTTATTAAAATTGTTATAAAAATATATAATTCTAATAAAAATAGATAAGTTATAATAAGTATTTATTAACACAAACATCCGATACGCTACTGAAGCAGGTAAGTCAAATTAACGTATCTAAATTCTTTGACATCTAATCTTTGACAAGTAATAAATAAAAGCTAAAATGCAAGAAAAATATATAATTTAGTTAATTTAAGTGAATTTCATAAATGATCGGTTTACTACATGTATGTATATTATATAGTCACTTACTAGCGAAAAGTTGTTCCATTATTTCACTCAATTTTTGCCGAGATCTACCGCACGCTACACAACCAACTATTTCAGTCTTTTTCGATAAATCGCGATAGTGTCACTGTTAATTTAAGTTCTGCCACAATTTCCATCTAGATTTACTACCTTTATACAACTATCAGTAGTAGAATAAACATGGTACAAAGAATACAAGGTATGATCGATAGCGGTTCCAATTTCGTTCAGTTTGCGCATACCACCTGTGACGTCACTAGGAAAACAATTAATAAATAAAAAATAAAGAAAGTTGACAGGAGATCTGTATTTTTTGGGGTTATGATTAAGAATTGTTTATTTTTAAGACTTTTTAGTTCGTTTAATTTAATAATTACTAAAACCAGCAGTTCCAAAAATATATTTAAAAATAATAATTATCTATTAACATGGATTTGGACGATAATAGGTAAGAATACTAAATTTATTTCTATATTCGGTATAAAATTGTTTATTAGGTTTTTAGTTTGCGATGTTTATGGTAAATAATTTTCATGTTCATTGTCTCTGAATTCACATGAGGACAGAGATGAGGATATCTATGGAAAAGTAACCACATGAGGAATTGTTACATCATTTAAAAAATGTTGGAAAGTTTATTGTTTCCCATCGAACAGTAGAAAATGCCAATGCAGATGAATGTATTGTAATTGTGATAGAAGTAATTCCAAGGGTGAAATTTATTATAATTAGTGGAAGTAATTCTAAGGGTTAAGTTTATTATAATTAGTGACCTGTGCTTTTCTTTTTATATGTAGATGTTTCAGGTTTTGAGAATAAATCGGTTGAACGAAACCCAAAATTTAGAGGAAGATGCGCATCAAGGATTATATAGCTCAAATTTCCTTTAATGGTAGGCAATTATTCAATGCAAATTAACTTTTTAAGTGACTGAAATACTAAATAGTTTACAATATGGTACATCACTAAAAATATATTTTACTTTTAGGTACAATTAGGGCCCGATACATTTCAAAAAGTAGAATATTATTTTATATTAAATGAGGTATTGTACCAACAATCAATTTATATTAATACCGGAGATTAAAAAATCACAGAATAAATAGTTCTTTTTTTATACTACAAAAATAAACTATAGAATACAACAGTATTTAAAAAAATAAATAAAAAGTTATGTCCCGGCCGAGATTCGAACTCCGGTCTCTCGCTTCCTAGCCCGACTCCTTATGCCCTGCTCCATAGTAACTTGCTTACCGATAATTCAATGACGGTATATAAACAAAAAAAACAGGTTTATAACAATATCTTGACGATTTGAACTGGCGCGCGAGGCGTGCTGACCAATAGCGCCTGTTATCACCTGTGACGTAGCAACCAACCTGCGCAATATCATACCTTGTATTCTTTCTACCATGGTAGAATAAATAATAAATAACATAAAATAAGCTCCATAAAGACTGACAAATCCACAAAGTTTCAAATCAAATTCAAATGTGTCAAATGAATCGTCAAACAGAACTGTCAAGGATCCCCACCCTAGAGTCCTTTTTCCTCCCACCATGCATGAATACATGAATAGCATTATGCTCCTTCCTTAGTCTTCTTATTCAAAGTTTACAATAATATCACAGTAATTCAAGTGTCTCTCAATTCACAATAAGTGTCCAGATTGATACATTTTTCTCAAAGCAACTAATAAATTAAACACAAGAAATATTGTAAAGTAAACACAGAGAGTCTGTTAACATTCAAACAGACCACTCTCTGCGCTTGATTGATTTCGGTGTCTTGCAATTTTCGACGAAGGTACCGTACCACTCGACACGCACTAATGTAAATATAAGGTTCTTGCACCATTTGCATTGGAGAATATGTGAACGCAATTAAGAGACAAGAGTTTGAATACTCGGAGTATATTTTACATGCTACTATCTAACTTCCCGGTCTCACTGTTGGTTATTATACAAGTTCAGAAGGAAAAAACGGTCTAGCAGTAAGTGGATTTTTTTTCTGAAAAAAAATAAATAGAAAACGAATAGGTAATCTTACTTTGAAAGTAATTCCATACTTCAGCATAGTAATTCTGTCGAAGAAAAGTATAGACATATAGAAGTAATAGAATATATATTTTTATATTTATAACCATTAAAAAAAGTATACTAGGTATGTTGAAATTTTTGACTGATTAAAATTTTGTCATTTCTTTTACTTTTGTTTCCCTTACTCTTTTTCTTCTGTTTTTTTTCTGGGTTCTACTTTTCCTCCATTTTTTTTTAAGTTCTAGTGTTTAGCAATGTTGAAATAGTCTTTGTTATTCTTACTTTATAACCTCGTTTATAACAATACTAGCGTGTACCAGCGACTTCGTTCGCGTCGAATTAATCATTTGTAATGGTGATGATAAAGCAAAGCAAGAATTTCCATTAACATACAAACTGGATAAAATTTTCTCACATTTATGTCAGCATGAGAAAAAACAATATGGCGATATTATTATATAACTTGGTAATATTTGAGGGATAGTTTCATCTTGTTGGAATGTGACTTTCGAAAAATCCGTTTGCCAAAAATAAGCTTTTTACGTCAAGCAGTTTAAGCAGAATCGTGGTTAAGAAATTACCCAACTTTTTGGAACACCCTGTATGATTTTTTTAAAAAATTTCAAAATATGTAAAAAAACAAATAAATTATGCTTGTCCAAGCGTTTTCCCGAAAGACAAACCGTTTTTTATATAACAAACATTGTAATATTTGAGAGGCGTTTTCACCCTCTTGAAATTTGAGATTCGAAAAATCCCTTCTTGTCGAATCTCTACACTCTAAAATCAATCAGTTTTCCAAAAATCAGCTTTTTACGTCAAGCGCTTTAAGCAGGATCGTGATTAATCAATGACCAGATTTTTCGAAACACCTTGTATACATTTTTAAAAAATCTTAAAATATGTAAAAAAACAAAATAAAATATACGTGTTTAAGCGATTTTTCGGAAACTTGACCGTTTTTTAAATAACAAATATTGTAATATTTGAGGGGGTGGTTTCACCCTTGTTTCACCCAAGGATTCTATAGAGATAAGGATAGTTCGATTCCTATCTTCCTGCACTGTCAGTTTTTTTACGTGATCTACTGACCGAGTTGAAGTTGGCGCTAAAGTAGTAGTAGTTTTGTTTTACGGCCACAGCTCCAGGACTATCCGGCCGTCAAAAAGTTGGCGCTAAAGATTTTAGACAGTGACAGTTATTTTTGCATTTGACGGACGAGCGCACAGTGCGTTGGAAGATAAATTTAGCGGGACAAAAGCGTTTGGTTAGAAATAAGCCAAAAAATGTGTACTGATAAAAATAAATAGTAGACATTCCAATTGATACAAAAATGCATGAATATTCTTTCTATTTCGATACACTTTTACGAACCAAATGTGGTCGTTTTCTGCTCAGCAAGGCAGAGATCATACGAAAACAAAATATTTAGAAGTGCTTATATATTTTATTAGAAAGCCAAATTATGTTGAAGATTGCCAAAGGTACCTATGTACTTTTCTACTGTATGTATATTATTTGTTAAAATCCTTCGTGCCTTTGTTCTGCAGATATCAAACTTTCACTTTTTTTTCAAATATCGATATATTGAATGATGTAGATCTTTTGAGTTACCAATAGTTACCAACACAGGTAGTTACAGTCACAGGGAGTTCAAGCTTAACAGGTGAATGCCCAAAAATATTCATTTCAATCGGATAATATAAAAACAAAACAACGCCATCAAAAGGCACTGAGTTTAAAAGATTGTCTTAGATACTTACTATATATGAATTTACAATTACCGAGTGTTAAAATTAAAATTAAAATATCTATCTTATTTATTATTTTCAAAGTAAAATATATTTTTTTTAAATAAATTATAGAGGGTGTCACAAGATTACAAATTAATTAAAAAAAACTGCTAAAGAGTTTTTTGATATCATAATTTTATGTATTTGGCAATAGTTTACAATACGGTTTTTGTGTGCCATGTACGAATAATATCATAGTTTTATTATCTTGTATTTATTTATTAATAAATTAAGTTGTTAATAAATAAATAAATTTAACCATATGGTTGCTATATATTAGACCATTTGCTACGTTCTTAGATTTTAAGTCTCAAACATTGCTCTTGTGATTTTGTCCCGCTAGAATAACCATCCGCCGCACTGTGGAGTGCTGGTCCTTGCGTGACGTAGCATTCCACGGCGCTACGACAGCGGCGATTTGACGCGATCGAACAGTCCTTTAGAATATATACAGTCCTTGGGTTTCACCCTCTTGGAAGTGGAATTTCGAAAAATCCCTTCTTATCGAACCTCTACACCCTAGAATCAACCTGTATGCCAAAATTGAGCTTCTTACGTTGAGTGATTTGAGCAGGATCGTGATTAATCAGTATGTCAGTCACTTAAGGATTTTATATATTAGTATAGATTTCTAGTAGTATATTGATGTAAAAATTGATTGTAAAAGACACCTTCTTGATTAATATTTTTAACATTTTTTTTCCAGACGTGGTAGACATCTCCATTACCGAAACCGTCAAATCATCCCCAGGCAAACACTGGTCACCGTACGGCTGCCACTACTACCCGGACCCAGAAGCATTCCCATCCCCCAACCTAGACAGCCTGCCTTCAGAACCCCTGAAAAAAGGCGAACAATACTACCTAGACTTAGCAGGAAACATCAGGAAAGGTCCAGTAGGCGTGGGGTACACTTGCTACTGCGCACCTTTGTTCAGGCATCTGGAAGCCAGGCTGGAACGGGACAAGCGTGAGCTGTTGAGGGCCCAAGTGAGATTAGGACAGCGAGTGGCGGGATTGGAGCAGAAGATCAGTAGGGGAGGTCAAGGTAGGAGGTCGGAGAGGGTTATTAGTATGAGCAAGGAGCAGGAGCCTCAGTTGCCGAGGTCGAGGAGTCTGGAGATGTTGGATAAAGGGGAGAAGAATTCACTTCAACCAACGAGGTAAGTGAATATTTGTATTTCTTACTTAGGTAGAGAGATTAACAGGAATTAAGATGCCATCATTCCCTCTACCTTTTGTAGGTAACAACCGTGAAATACAATAGATATTTTGAGTAATAATATAAAATGAAAATGGATACTCATCCAGCTACTTTAATAAAGAAGAATAATAAGGAAGATTGTAACAAAAAGAAATGCAACATTTGTGTCGTTTTAAAATGGGACAAAATATACTAAATTTAGTAGAAAATAAAATCTTTGCTATACCGTCAAAAAAATTTAGGAAAAGGAATCTGCACCATTATTTTTTCAAGTTTTCCGAAAAATATCTAGAAAAATGAAAATTTTTTAACAATCTCTTTGCCAAAAAATCTTGTAAGCTTGTATACTAGCTCTTATTTAACAGATACCCTGTATTACCTTAAATATCAACTTTTCCCAGAATTATAATATGAGATATTATAATCTTTCCAAGATATTTTACTAAAAAAACTGTTTCACTTGATAAATTGAAAGTAGACCTTTTCTTATATGATTCAATTCACCGATTTGCCGCTGCAATGATCTTTCAGAGCAAAACTTAATAAACTTTTTGCTAAAGCCCGAACCACACTTGCTTTTCTTCGCCATTAGCCCGCAAATAAGCGTAAACGATGGACACAATGGATCGTAAAGACGCGATTTCAGTTGAGCCATGACCTTAGACGTTATGTCTATAAACTAGACACCTTCTTTACGATGTTTACAGTGAAGCTATAGGATACAACACGAAATATTTCGGTATTGAGTATTGCAAACTCGAAAATAATATCCATACGAATGTCTGCGATACCAATTAAACTTTTAGTTACGTAATCCAGGGCGCGATTTTTAAATTCATTGTTGCCAACCATGGACATATTCGGCGCCGGGCTGACTAAGTGGAATTTAAATTTCACGCTGGGGATTCAGGTGATAGCTCTGCTGTAAAAAATAAAGCTTAAAAATGTTTACTAGCAGACCCTGCAGCAGAACATTGTTCTTTTTAGAACCTGTTTTAGTGCGAAGTGTACGAGATAGCTTAATAGCCGTAAAAAACTCACCGCAACTTTATTAGAATATTTTGAGCGGGAAAGCGGTAGTAATACCCCTTTAGGTCCCTTAATTGCTGCTAAGAAGGTGAGTTTTGTTGATGTAAATAATAACTGTTTATATATTTATATTTAATTTATATTTTATTTCCTAAAATATTTTGATTAAAATATGTAAAAGTAGGCAACGCTGTGCCGGTGAAGCTTAATCACGTGACTAAAAGTTTATTTGATATGAACTATACAGGGTTGTTCACCATATACGACACGGAGTATTGTAGCTAAACGATTAGATTTTTACAAATTGTAAGTTTTGGGTTCGTTGCAGGACTATTAGAGCTACAATTTAAAAATATTTTTACAAGATACAGAGTGTTCTAAATAAATAAAAAATATCAAAGTTGTATTTTTTAAATGGAACACCCTGTATATTATAACATTTTCAGTTTCTACGATCAAAATAAAGGTAAATTTGATTAAGACTTAAACCTGACCGTTTTTGAAATATTTTCAATTTTGTGAAATTGCAGTCAAAATTTTAAGGCTTCATTTCTCCAAGGGTATCAAAGCTTTTAATACTAAATATTTACTGAAGTTTATTTATTGATCAGTTATTAGGTTGCGATAATAAAAATAATACTACCTCATACAGAGTGTCTAAAAATTTATTTTAAATTATTTCCAGCTATAAACGGCAATAACTTGTTTAATTTCAATAGAACGCCCTGTATATTTTAGGAGAATCAGATGCACAATTTAATTGTCTATCAAATTGTATTACGCCACTTTTTACATATCCCTTCAAGTTTTCGCATAAAATGCATTTTCTTATAATTTAGACCTCATTTATCAATATACCCATGGAATATTGACATTTTAGATTGTTTTTAAAGCAACAAAGGTACAAAATGTACAGGCTAGTAATATTATCGTTTTTAGCAAAATGATAATATTACTAGCCCATTTGTATGCAAAAAGAAAACTATTTAAATCTTTATAAAAGAGTATACCATTAATTAAATATACCACCATTATTTCCGCCCAAATACTAATTAATTACATACTTAATTATGTTCGTTAATAAATTATTCTAAATAAATGTGAATTTGAATCAGAAATCAATATAATAATAAGTTATGAAAATGAATGTCTCTGTTGTTATAAATAAGCATTTGTCAAAAAATGAAATATCATTTTTAAGGTGTTACTTTTTACCACACTGTTTAATACACATATAAAATTCAGTTTTTTAGTATTTGGGATAATTATTATTAATCAACGCAAACAGTCAATTAATGTAGTTTGAATACTGGAATCATATTAATTGGTCCTCTTTAACAAATATTTAAACAGTTTCTTTTTAATTTTTAATGAAATAAACAAACTATATCGACAATATTAGTATCTGTACTCTTTAAAAATTTGGTACATCTTTGAAAATAATCTAAAATGTCAGTATTCCATGGGTATATTGATAAATGAGTTTTAAATTACAAGAAAATGCATTATCTACCGAAACTTGAAGAGATAGGAAAAAAGTGTAATAATACAATTTGATAGACAATTAAATTGTGCATCTGATTCTCATAAAATATACAGGGTGTTCCATTTAAATTAAACAAGTTATTGCCGTTTAAAGATATTAATTATTTAAAATAAAATTTTGGACACTCTGTATAAGGTAGTATAATTTTTATTATTGCAGCACAATAACTGATCGATAAATAAACTTCAGTAAATATTTAGTATTAAAAACTTTGATATCCTGGGAGAAATGTAGCCTAAAAATTTTGACTGCAATTTCACAAAATTGAAAATATTTCAAAAACGGTAAGGTTTAAGTGTAATAAACCTTTATCAAGCTTACTTTTATTTTAATCGTAGAAACTAAAAATGTAATAATATACAGGGTGTTCTATTTAAAAAAACACAATTTTGATATTTTTTATTTATTTGGGACACTCTGTATCTTGTAAAAATATTTTTAAATTGTAGCTCTAATAGTCCTTCAACGATCCCAAAACTAATAATTTATAAAAATCTAATCGTTTAGCTACAATACTCCGTGTCGTATGTGGTGAACAACCCTGTATATGAGTAGTGTATTTTTATAAATGTTAAAGAAGGACTTTTTTTCATATTAAATATTTTATGAATTATGTAAGCTTCAAAATCCTGCTGAAAGCCTTTCTAGAGACTGCACGCTCTAAGGTTCCGGTATTCATAACTAAAGCCATTTTTACACTTCTCCTCCCTGGACGTGTGATACGTGCTTCAATGGAGTTGTTGCGATTCAGGCGCATTCGTTTTGGTCAGGCCGTTGTTCCCTAATGGCGTGCGTTTTTTAAATTGTTGACAGAGGTGTGGCCAGAATTAATTCTTTCTTTTGTTATGTCAGCTTTTATCGAATTTACTTTGAATTGACTTAAAAAGTCTATAAACTCAAAAAAAATATTTATTTAAATCGATTCAAAGTTTTAGTTTGGTATGGGGGTATGGGAGGGGGTTAAATTTTTAAAAAACCGTATCGCCAAAATTACAGTAGCTAGCGAAACGCGATTATCAATTTAAGATTAGGAATAATATTTGCAACAAAATCGTATTACGTTAAGTAATTTGATGCTGATGACATCGATATTAAAGTCACGTCATAAATTATCCACATTTTACAACTGCCAGCGAGTTTTAATTGCTGCCACCGACAGAGGTCGCTAATTAATTCAATGAAGGCCCCAAGGCACGAAACATATCCCGGCATTCTAATTATGAACGCCATTATAAATCATGGTTAATTCGATTAAATATACCTACCCAATGCATCATTTTTTGTTATGATTCTTTAAATGCCAAAACAATGTATATATATAATTTAATAGTTTTAAAACTAATTTACATTGATACATTGCAACAAAATTAGAATTAAATGCAAATTCATAGTTTTAAATAATATATTTTTCACAATTTAAGCCATTTAGAAAAGCTACCAGACAAAACGGGTTTTTCCAAATATTGTATGACCAAAAAAAAACGGCGTCCAGTTGGCTGGGAAATGACGATCGATGACATATCCCATATAAAATGACAGCGATCTTCATTTCACAGCCATCATTGACGCCGTTGTTTTCAGTTATACGGCATTTCTTTATAGTTTAATATCTTTGTATCTCTTCTTGTTTACGAGAGATATTTCTGTAGTTAGTGGTCTTATATGGGACACCCTGTATACAAGGCGAGACATTAGTATATTTACGAAACTTAAAATGGCCTGAAGTAAAATACAGGTACCATAAAATGTTCTTACGCGCAAATATATGCGTTTCCTGTGTTGTTTAATTCTATATCACGCACACAGTACTGACAAAGTCTAAATAGGCTTCAGCACCTGCAGGGAGGTGATAAGGTACGCAACTATACCATTATTAAAGATAATAAAGTGAATTTATGAGTGCGTTTTTGAACATGTGACTTCCGGTGATACGTATACCAGTGTACATATGCATTTGTATACCAATGAAAGTGATTTTTAACACAATTAATTACACTATAGAAAAATAAGGTTTAGCAGTTCAAAGAGTTAAAACTTAGGAACAAAAATTATACATGCTTATTAGTATTTCTTTGAATGTGGTAGACACTGATTCAGTATTAATGTATGGTTCTTCTGAAGTCAGTTGAAATAGAATGGGACTCTCTTAATTTCTGCACAGTCTTGATTGGCATCGACTAGGCAAACAAATTAGAGTCTCAATACTTCCAATTGATTTCGGAAATACTATATCATTGATCTTTTCTAAGTGAATTAATCTACCATACGATCGAAAAAAAAACGGCGTCAGCGATGGCTATGAAATGACGATCGCAGTCATTTTATAAGGAAAATTATATGGGGGAATCTAATCGATCTTCATTTCTAAGCCAACTGGACGCGGTTTTTTTTTCGATCATACGGTAGTTCTAAGAACGTCAGCGTTGGTACTTTACATAAGGAGTTTCCATATTGTGGAAATTTCCATACTTGGATTCCTAAAGATGTTACTGCTCCTTGATGTAAAACGGCTTCTTTAAATTTACACTTGTGTCTTTTATCCACAACTCGAGCCTTCCACCAAAATTTTGCTTTGTCTCTCCCAATATACGACTCACCGCATTCACAAGGTGCCTTGGAGATGCCCCCTTTTTCTTGTTTCGATGTTTCCGGTCTTGTTATTGTTAAGACGCTTCTCAGAGTAGTTCCAGACTTATTACAATCTGGTCCTTTCTGATGTTCATTTTATACATGGAATACGGACAAGAGATAGAGAGCATCTTGTTCAAGCTTGTGTGCTAGTGATTCTGTTTTATGATTCGATATAGTTTTGTCTGTTATTAATATTTGTTTGTTTTTATTTCAATTTTCTTAGAACTTTTCCTGAACTATTAGTATAGATCGTTTTAAAAACAGAGAATTTGTAACTTTTTTACCGTTACAACAAGCAGTATGGTCGTTTCTGAAAATTGCTTTTATCTACATTAATACAGACGTTAAATCTACAGATTATTGGGCCTGTTCCAAAACACATCTGACATCTTCACCATATGTTGTTCGTTTAAATTCCCGGTATCGAAAATGTAATGTTATCTACTATATTTTTTCTGTTTAGCAATAAACTTGACAACCATCCGAATATTTTTAGATTATTTTATGTTTCTTTAATTTTGATTTATTAAATATTTTTTCCAAATTTGTTCTAAATATAAATTTTAATGAATTAATATTTCAGGAGCATGGATGAGCTGGAAAACCATGCAGATGACTCAGGAGCTAGACCATCAGTCAAAGAACTGGTCGCTAGAATACAGCAGCAACAGCAAAACAGACACGATGGACCTCACAGTGAAAGCAGTGATGACGAAGACAGCCCTTTGAGGATACCATCTAGAAAAGGACCAATGGGTGATTCAAATTTAGTACAAGTAAGTACTTGATTTAATTTATGAATTGACTTAAAGAACATTATTTCAAATATGGATTTTATCTTTTTAGGTGCCTCTAGGACACACTCCAGGCCCTGTAAGGATAGGGCACTACGAAAATGTGCCCGGAGATGCCCCACCAAGGAGTAGAAGTGGAGTGTACAGCCCTACAGTGGATACAGGCATGGTGGACTCCAGTAATCGCTACATAGAGCCTATAGTCAAAATACAAGAAGCCGGTGTAAGGTAAGATATCGTGTAATAGATTGACTGGTCAATTCAGTGACCAATTTAGCCTACATATAGGGGAATTACAATATATAAATTATATATGATATAATGATATCATATATAAATTATATATTATTTCTACACGCGTTTTTATATATGATCATATATAAAATGTCATATATAAATTACATATGCTATCATATACAACTTATATGTGTTATATATTTATATATGCTTATCATATAAATTATGTATGTTACCATAATTTATATATAGGGGAATTATAATATATAAATTATATATATATTATATAACATATAAATTATATATTATTTCTACATGCGTTTTTATATATGATCATATATAAAATGTCATATATTAATTATATATGCTATCATATACAACTTATATGTGTTATATATTTATATATGCTGATCATATAAATTATGTATGTTACCATAATTTATATATCATATTTTTTATATATATATGATGGCATCTTATTTATATACGATACTTCTCACAATCATATATAGATATATCCTAGGTTTTATATTTCATGATCATATATAATTTTATATGATCGTAAAAATGTCATATATAATTGATATATTATCGCAAATGTTATATATAAATTATATGAAAGTTTAGAGATCATATATAAATTATATATGATAGCAAAATATAACCGTCATCAAATATAACTTATATATGATGGCGAAAATATAAAAATCATCATATATAAATTATATGTGATCGCAAAACTATAAACATCGTATATAAATTATATATGATTGCGAAAATATAAATATCATATATAAATTGTATATGATCATAAAATATAAAAATCATAATGTATAAATTATATATGATCGCAAAAATATAAAAATCATCATATATAAATTATATAGTAACATAAAAATATAAAAATCATCATATATAAATTATATATGATGATTTTTTATATTTTTATGATCATATATAATGTATATATGATGATTTTTAGATTTTTGTAATCATATATAATTTATATATGATGTTTTTTATATTTTTGCGATCATATAATTTATATATTATGACTTTTATATTTTTATGATCATATACAATTTATATATGATGATTTTTAGATTTTTGTAATCATATATAATTTATATATGATCATAAAAATATAAAAATCACATATAATTTATATATGATCATTTTTTTTAAATATTTTTCGATCATACATAATTTATATATGATTATTTTTAGATTTTTGTAATCATATATACTTTATATATGATGCTTTTTATATTTTTGTTATCATATATAATTTATATATGATGATTTTGGGATCATATATAATTTATATATGACGTTTTTTTATATTTTTCCGATCATATATAATTTATATATAATGTTTTTGCGATCAAATATAATTTATATATAATATAAAAAAATAATTTAAATCGATAAATCGATAAATATATCGATAAATCCGATCATATATAATTTATATATAATGTTTTTGGTTTTAATAAATCAATAAATCAATAAATCAATAAATCAATAAATCAATAAATCAATAAATCAATAAATCAATAAATCAATAAATCAATAAATCAATAAATCAATAAATCAATAAATCAATAAATCAATAAATCAATAAATCAATAAATCAATAAATCAATAAATCAATAAATCAATAAATCAATAAATCAATAAATCAATAAATCAATAAATCAATAAATCAATAAATCAATAAATCAATAAATCAATAAATCAATAAATCAATAAATCAATAAATCAATAAATCAATAAATCAATAAATCAATAAATCAATAAATCAATAAATCAATAAATCAATAAATCAATAAATCAATAAATCAATAAATCAATAAATCAATAAATCAATAAATCAATAAATCAATAAATCAATAAATCAATAAATCAATAAATCAATAAATCAATAAATCAATAAATCAATAAATCAATAAATCAATAAATCGATAAATCAATAAATCAACAAATCAATAAATCAATAAATCAACAAATCAATAAATCAATAAATCAATAAATCAATAAATCAATAAATCAATAAATCAACAAATCAAAAAAAATAACAAATCAATAAATCAACAAATCAATAAATCAACAAATCAACAAATCAATAAATCAATAAATCAATAAATCAATAAATCAATAAATCAATAAATCAATAAATCAATAAATCAATAAATCAATAAATCAATAAATCAATAAATCAATAAATCAATAAATCAATAAATCAATAAATCAATAAATCAATAAATCAATAAATCAATAAATCAATAAATCAATAAATCAATAAATCAATAAATCAATAAATCAATAAATCAATAAATCAATAAATCAATAAATCAATAAATCAATAAATCAATAAATCAATAAATCAATAAATCAATAAATCAATAAATCAATAAATCAATAAATCAATAAATCAATAAATCAACAAATCAACAAATCAATAAATCAATAAATCAACAAATCAACAAATCAATAAATCAATAAATCAACAAATCAATAAATCAACAAATCAATAAATCAACAAATCAATAAATCAATAAATCAATAAATCAACAAATCAATAAATCAACAAATCAATAAATCAACAAATCAAAAAAAATAACAAATCAATAAATCAACAAATCAATAAATCAACAAATCAACAAATCAACAAATCAACAAATCAACAAATCAACAAATCAACAAATCAACAAATCAACAAATCAACAAATCAATAAATCAATAAATCAATAAATCAATAAATCAATAAATCAATAAATCAATAAATCAATAAATCAATAAATCAATAAATCAATAAATCAATAAATCAATAAATCAATATATCAATAAATCAATAAATCAGTAAATCAGTAAATCAGTAAATCAGTAAATCAGTAAATCAGTAAATCAGTAAATCAGTAAATCAGTAAATCAGTAAATCAGTAAATCAGTAAATCAGTAAATCAGTAAATCAGTAAATCAGTAAATCAGTAAATCAGTAAATCAGTAAATCAATAAATCAGTAAATCAGTAAATCAACAAATCAATAAATCAATAAATCAACAAATCAATAAATCAACAAATCAATAAATCAACAAATCAATAAATCAATAAATCAATAAATCAATAAATCAACAAATCAATAAATCAACAAATCAATAAATCAACAAATCAAAAAAAATAACAAATCAATAAATCAACAAATCAATAAATCAACAAATCAACAAATCAACAAATCAACAAATCAACAAATCAATAAATCAATAAATCAATAAATCAATAAATCAATAAATCAATAAATCAATAAATCAATAAATCAATAAATCAATAAATCAATAAATCAATAAATCAATAAATCAATAAATCAATAAATCAATAAATCAATAAATCAATAAATCAATAAATCAATAAATCAATAAATCAGTAAATCAGTAAATCAGTAAATCAGTAAATCAGTAAATCAGTAAATCAGTAAATCAGTAAATCAGTAAATCAGTAAATCAGTAAATCAGTAAATCAGTAAATCAGTAAATCAGTAAATCAGTAAATCAGTAAATCAGTAAATCAGTAAATCAGTAAATCAGTAAATCAGTAAATCAGTAAATCAGTAAATCAGTAAATCAGTAAATCAGTAAATCAGTAAATCAGTAAATCAGTAAATCAGTAAATCAGTAAATCAGTAAATCAGTAAATCAGTAAATCAGTAAATCAGTAAATCAGTAAATCAGTAAATCAGTAAATCAGTAAATCAGTAAATCAGTAAATCAATAAATCAATAAATCAATAAATCAATAAATCAATAAATCAATAAATCAATAAATCAATAAATCAATGAATCAATGAATCAATGAATCAATGAATCAATGAATCAATGAATCGATAAAGCGATAAATCGATAAATCGATAAATCGATAAATCGATAAATCGATGAATCGATGAATCGATGAATCGATGAATCGATAAATCGATAAATCGATAAATCATTTAGTTGATTTTAAAAATTCCGACCGCAGCGCTCGATACTGCAGAAATCAGAAGTTTTCGGCTCTGTATTTTACTCAGTTCCGATGGTGATCACTTTGAAATAATATTAACATCATGGCTTTGTCATAATATTTAAGTAGGTACTTCAGTTTTTAATAGTGCAGTTATTGAAACTAAAAATCACTCAGGTACAAGTTGTTGTTTCATATAACGCTATTTCGGGTAGTAAAAATTAAGTGAAAAGGAATCCAAACTTGGAATGTAAATATTATCGAAAAATGTTAACGAGTAATGGAGGGCGTAATTACGTGTTTGTTGGGAGCAATAGCATTCAATAACTCAACTTTCGCGTATATTCAACATCTTCGACATTTTTACGATCATATAAAATTATATATGATGATTTTTATATTTTTATGATCATATATAATTTATATATGATGATTTTTAGATTTTTGTAATCATATATAATTTATATATGATCATAAAAAATATAAAAATCATCATATATAATTTATATATGACCATTTTTTAAAATATTTTTCGATCATATATACTTTATATATGATTATTTTTAGAGTTTTGTAATCATATATAATTTATATATGATGCTTTTTATATTTTTGTTATCATATATAATTTATATATGATGATTTTGGGATCATATATAATTTATATATGACGTTTTTTATATTTTTCCGATCATATATAATTTATATATAATGTTTTTGCGATGAAATATAATTTATATATGCTGATTTTGATATTTTTCGATCATATGTAATTTATATATTACGTGTTGCCATCATATATAATTTATATATGATCATATTTTATATTTTCGATCATATATAATTTATATATGATCATTTTTATTTTTCCGATCATATATAATTTATATGATGCTTTATATATTTTTGCAATCATATATAATTTATGTATGCTGTTTTTGCGATCATATATAATTTATATATGACGATTTTTATATTTTGTGGTCATATATAATTTATATATGGTGATTTTTATATTTTGCAATCATATATAATTTATATATGGTGATTTTTATATTTTGCAATCATATATAATTTATATATAACTTTTATATTTTTATGATTACGCATAATTTATATATGATAATTTTTATATTTTATACGGTCATATATAATTTATATATGATGTTTTTTATATTTTTGCGATAATATTTAATTTATATATGACATTTTTTATTTTTGCAATCATATATTATTTATATATGATCTTAAAGCTTTCAGATATGATTTATATATGATTGCTTCTATATTTAATGATCAAATATGATTTATATATATGATCGTAAAACTGAATTTATATATGATAGTTTATATATTTACGGACATAATAAATATTTTATATGACAGCTTTGCGACCACATATAAGTTATATATGATATTCTATATTTGATGATCATATATGATTTATATATATATGATCTTAGAACTGTCATATATAATTTATATATGATAGTTTTTTTATATTTGATGGTCATAAATAATTTATATGACAGTTTTGCGACCGCATATAAGTTATACATGATATTTTTATAATCATATATAATTTATATATGCTATTTGTGACGGTCATATCTAAATTATATGATATAGCGTATAATTCATAAAATATTATGTTTTCTCTATATAAAAAAGAACTTTTTTTCTCTAGGTACAACGACTCCTACCCAAAATTCCCCCAAGCCAGCACGAGCAAGTACGATCCCATGAACCCCTACCAACCGGAAATGCGCTACGTCGACCCGGGGGGCTTCCAACCCCACCACTACTACGAAGAAGACCAAATTCCCGCCCCCACCACCAAATTCTACGACCACTCGATCTCCGCGCGGTTGGCCAAACTGCGCGTGCTCGACAGTTCCAAGGGCTACCCCGATTCAAAAAACCCGATAGAGGGGTCGTCCAGGATGCTCGACCCCAACCATTTGCTGGACAATCCCCACGACACGATAGACAGGGACACCAACAATGACTCGGGGTACTCCACGAAAGTTTACGGGAGTTCCAAAGGCAACTCGCCCAGTTTGAGCGGACAGATCGATGGGGAGTGCTTGGGGGCGAGTAGTTTAGTGTAAAAGATTGGGGCTGTTGGTTGGTTGAAAACTATGGAGAAGACAGTGATGATCATGTTGATTGGTTCAGTCAAAATGTAAAGTATGTCCAACGAGTTAGGTACTATTTTGACAGACGACAGTCAAAAAATGACAGAAATTTCAATTTAATTGTGAATTAAAATGACAGATAACTGTTGCTGTCATATATCTTCTCGTTGGACATACTTACTAGTTTATGTTGTTACTACAGAACATTTATTAAAGATGTGCAAATCACTTAAAATATTTGTATTCTTCCTGCACTAAGCATGGTCTACAGCTTGTCAGAAGGAGTAAAAACACTGAAGGAGTAGAATAGCAACAGAATTAGCGAGACTACGAAATCACTTACCCTTTATTTTTACCCTTACTTCGTTGTCCTTCATCATTACCCTCCCATTTAACACTGACACTTACCCTTTACTTAATAGTAGGGTAAGTGTCGGGGTAGATGGTAGTCTAATTGCAAAAGGTAACTTTATAAATAATAATAATATGATGGTAAAGGGTATCAAAATATACTTTATGACCTTTTACGAAGTCACTTACCTTTTGCTTTAGCCCGTTGTCCTTCATCATTACCCTACCATTTAACCTGACACTTACGCATTACTTAATAGTAAAGGGTAAGTGTCGGGGTAGATGGTAGTCTAATTGTGAAAGGTAACTTTATAAATAATAATTATATGGTGGTAAAGGGTATCAAAATATATTTTATGACCTTTTACGAAGTCACTTACCTTTTACTTTAGCACGTGGTCCTTCATCATTACCCTACCATTTAACCTGACACTTACGCGTTACTTAATAGTAAAGGGTAAGTGTCGGGGTAGATGGTAGTCTAATTGTGAAAGGTAACTTTATAAATAATAATAATATGGTGGTAAAGGGTATCAAAATATATTTTATGACATTTTACGAAGTCACTTACCTTTTACTTTAGCACGTGGTCCTTCATCATTACCCTACCATTTAACCTGACACTTACGCGTTACTTAATAGTAAAGGGTAAGTGTCGGGGTAGATGGTAGTCTAATTGTGAAAGGTAACTTTATAAATAATAATAATATGATGGTAAAGGGTATCAAAATATATTTTATGACCTTTTACGAAGTCACTTACCCTTTACTTTAAGCCCATTGTCCTTCATCATTACCCTACCATTTAACCTGACACTTACGCTTTACTTAATAGGTAGTCTAATTGTGAAAGGTAACTTTATAAATAATAATCATATGATGGTAAAGGGTATCAAAATATATTTTATGACCTTATACGAAGTTACTTACCCTTTACTTTAGCCCGTTGTCCTTCATTATTACCCTACCATTTAACCTGACACTTACGTTTTACTTAAAAGTAAAGGGTAAGTGTCGGGGTAGAGGGTAGTCTAATTGTGAAAGGTAACTTTATAAATAATAATAATATGATGGTAAAGGGTATCAAAATATATTTTATGACCTTTTACGAAGTCACTTGCCCTTTACTTTTACCCATACCGTTGGCCTTTATCATTATCCTACCATTTAACCTGACACTTACCACTTACCCTTTACTTAATAGTAAAGGGTAAGTGTCGGGGTAGATGATAGACTAATTGTAATACTATATACGTATTAACTTTATAACTAATAATAATATACGGGAACTTTATAAGGTAACTATACGGTAACTTTATAAGTAATAATAATATGATGGTAAAGGGTATCAAAACATATTTTTACCTTTTAGGAAGTCACTTACCCTTTACTCTTACCCTTACCGTTGCCATTCACCATTACCCTACCATTTAACCTGACATTTACCCTTTACTTAATAGTCAGGCGTAAGGGTCGGGGTAGATAAAAAAGGACTAATTGTAAAAGGTAACTTTATAAATAATAATATGATGGTAAAGGTAAAGGTACTTATAAAAGGTCATAAATATAAATTGGTAAAAGATAAAGTCAATCCAATATTAAACAATTTGCACAAAAATCATATTTGGGTGCAAAAAGTGTACATAGTGCAGGAAGTTATACAAGGAACGTATAGTTACAAGGTATATTATGACAGACTATTAAAATAACTATATCTGAATGCGTTTTGGATATAGTTTAACTGAAATTATAATAAATTTTAATAAAAATATGCATTAAACACTCAAATGAACACTAAAATATTCTGACATAATACCAGGTGATCGAATGGAATTACGTTACGTTCAATAGCAAATAGTTTAAGGTAACTCTTTTTTTAATTTAATTTCACTGATTTAAACATTTTCTTATAATTTAATATCGTATTTTTTTTAGTGTGTAACGTTGTGATGTCATCTCATTTGATCACATGGTATATTATGCACTTATAAAAAGAGAAAAAGCAACGGTTATAAAAAAAATTACTAAAAATTAAACACATTTCTTTTGTTAATAATAAACAGTGTTCTAGAAAGTGCCTTTTCTTTATTTAGTGTTGAAAATTAACTTTAAGAAACATACAAAAAGAGACACTAACAGTGTGTAAAAAAGACCATAATTAGTTTAAGATAGAGTAATATTATACTGTATAATCGAGAAAAAAGCGTCACTGCAGCTGTTGAATATTTTTAAAATTTACTTGCTTAAAAGCTACCGTGACGCTATTTTTTTCGATCTTAATTATTTCTAGTTGTGTGTACAAATCAAGAAAGAATATTTCCTGAATTAAATATATTAACAAGAAATAAAATAATATATAATATTATTTATTTTGTTTTGCTAAAAAGTCTACTTGTAAAATAACTTTTTTTGTTCTACTTCTTAGTTTTATTAGAAGCGTAGTTATTTATTTTTTTCTGTTTAGCGAATAAAATAAAAATGTTTACTGTATATAATGAATCGATCGTTTTGTATGGAAACGTATGTAAACAAACTTGTACTTGTACATTACCTCCTATTTTTTTCCTGAAATTTGTTGAACAATAATTTGTATATTGGAAAGAAAATAAAGTCTATTTTATTTATTTTTTGTGTTATTTTCAAATAATATCTTGAATATTTTGTAAAGTGGCGAATGCGCAGGGATTCAGAAATTTATATAATAATTGAAGCAGGAGTGGTAATAGAATGACTGCATATAAACACCCTGTGTATTATACATTTCAATTAAAAAGAAAGGAATAGGATTTTTTTTTCAGACTATTTTTATTTCAATAAATAAAGATTATAACAATCGTCAGTCTTAAAATCTATATAAATAATAATTTAAAAAATTCGTCCAACCAGAGAGACAGCCTTGATAGTGATATTTTTAGTAACTGTCATTTTTTGACATTTCTGTCTCGCTGGACGAACTATACCTACTTATATTACGTAAGTTACGCATGTCAGTAGAGGAGGAACTTTGCATTCACAGGTGACGTTCATACTTCTCGGACTTTCTATGGTTTTCTCAAATTTCTGTCCCACTCTGACAAGTCTTTGTCCAAAAAGACACATTTTGTCTAAAAAAAAGGAAGGTAAAAATTACAGGGATTCAACTCTCGAGTTGTCTCGACATTACATATATTTTATATGTAATGTCATAATTACAAACATGCAATTTTGACATTACAAATATTTATATGTAATGTTTGCATTGCATATATTTTATAACAATATAAAATATAATGCAACCGTTACATATAATTATTTGTAAAAAAATGCATGTATGTAATGACGACATTACATATAAAATATATATATTACATATAAAATATATGTAATGTCAACATTACATATAAAATATATGTAATGCCGACATAACATATATAATATAATACCTTAAGATAAAAATAACGGAGGTATAGATTGATTTGGAAATAAAGATAACTGGCATTTTCTATTATGTAAAACACTGATTGTCATTTCAAAGCCACCTCTGACGCAGTTTTTTCTACCATATAGTAGTTAGTTGTAAACATGTAAATAGACACTTTTTTTAATACATTGGTTATTATATATACACGATTTGACAATCATATTAGCATCATCAGCAGATGATTAAAACTGTATGAGAAAAAAAAATCGTACAATTTATAACTCAGTTCGTACAAAAAGGGTACAAGTTATAACTCAAAATTCTTGTAGTATGTAATTATTTTTTTTTTCTTAAAAACGCAAATATAATAGAAATTTTTATAACTTCAAAGGAAAATACAGGAAAAATCGGATAGATGTCACCTCTAATGAAATTTTCAATATTTTTATTCTTTGATTAAATGAAAAATAATGTCATAGTAAAAGTAGAATTAATATTGCATTTTGAGTTTAATTATGTTTATTACTCTTTCTTTATATTAACATACAAGCTAACTTCCAAAAAATAAAAATAAAGAAAATATTTATTTATAATTTTGAAAAATATTTAATTTGAGTTCAAAATTTGTGTTCAAAAATATATATTTTATATCATTATTTTTCCAAAAAAAAAACCTATATCTAATTATTCTAGATTCAGTAGTTTTTACTCAAAAACACAATATATAAATTTTCTTATTTGTTTTTGTACTATTCCTGGATGAAGCTAGACTTAGAAATTAATCTTCTAGTATATTATTATTTTTAAATGTCTTGTTAACGTTTAATTTTATTTATATTCTCTTTGTCTTCCTCTAAGAAATTTCCGTGAAATCATCACCAACATGATGTAATACACAAGTTGTATGATAATTAAATTTAAATTATAAACAGTGTATATGTATTTTTTTCATTATTACCTGTTCTGGGTCTGCCAGTTAATTTCTCATTGCCCTCGCCTAAAAAGAAACCATTTATTATTTTAGATACACAAACAAAAAAAAACTCTAGAGAAAGAATGAAACACATAGAGAAGCTCAAACATATAAATAATATTTTGGGTTGTAGTCAGGGGCGGATCCCGGATTCGGGAAGGGGGGGGGGCTAGACACAAAACTTTACTCGAAGTAGATACTCCGGAGTCGTTTCTGACATAATAAATTAATAATATCCTATTACATGACTGATGCCAAGATAGAAAATTCATATTTTGAATTCCTCTAGGTTTACTTATTTCTCTGAGAACTAAACACAATCAGTATTGTTAAATAATAAAAATTTGATGATACTTACTGCAAATCCAACTTGTTGGACAACAAAGTGGATCATTTTCTCGGTATTTTCTTTTGTAGTAAAGTGGAGCACATCTTTCTTGGAGTTTTTCCTGGTTTTTGATTTGAACACCGCAAGATCGTCTTCTACAGAAAGGTTTTTCTAATTTTCCTTTAAAAATATTAACAAATTAATTAAATGAACTTTTGAATCAAAATTTTTACCTCTGAATCCTTCCTGACAGACACATCTCCAACATGAATTTTTCGGCAAAAAATTTTCACCTTCTTTGTATACTTTGCCATCGTACACGCATGTAGTTGAATTCTCGTAAGGTGCTGTAAATAAATGAACGGAAATTGATGAATTTAAGTTATACAGGGTGTCCCAATACTTACCACACATTTCTCTTATCGAGCAACAGTCATCCAACGAATATTTTCTGTAACAGCCTGGATATGGTTCTTTTACACCCCATTCTGGACAGTCAACAGTGGCGCACTTAAAGTTGGTTCTATATTGATAAAAATAATCAAAATTAAAAAAAAAACTGCTTATTCTGGTCTATTCGAAATCATTGATTAATATTGTATGATCGAAAAAAAAACGGGGTCCAGTTGGCTGGGAAATAACGAGCGATGACATTTCTCATATAAAGGAATATATTTGAAATCTGCCCCCGCGGCTTTTTTGGCTCGCACTCAAGGGATCGATTTGGTGTGGAATCAAAAAAAAGCTCTTTAACTCAAACGGTTTTCGAGATTTTCAAAAAAAATCTGTTTTTTCAATTTTATTTTTATAGTAAAGTTCAAAACTAATTAATAATGACTTTTTTTCTAATTCAGAAGTCTAAGACATGAAAAAATAATATGATTATGATTCCTAAACGAAAGGCCGATTTAGAAAATTTAAATCATTTTTTTAAGATTTTTATAAAAAAACGAGCCTTAGAAGATTTTAGAAAAAAAACGATTTCAGAAAAAAATGAGTTTTTTTCATATTTTTCCACCACTTCAAAAAATTCTAAAAAATTTATGAGTGCAAAAGAGTATAAAAGTGTCAAAATGAATGACAATGTCAGGAAATAAATTTATTTATTTATTATAGTGGCAACTTGACCTTTTCTACAGCAGAGCTACCACCTGAATACCCAGCGTGAAATTTAAATTCCAATTAGTCAGTCAGTTGGCAACAATGAATTTAAAAATCGCGGCCTCGATTACGTAACAAAAAGTTTAATTGGTATCAAATATACTTAAGTTTATCCAAATGTTTTTTAACTCCAAAAATCTTTCTTTCAACCTTCAACGTTTTGCTCATCCTTATAACACAACCTAACGTACAAATAAATCACTTTTCTAAAACTCGAGGTATATTTATTGCAGTTTGAGGGACTGTTAACTTCTGGATATTAAGAGTGCGATAAAAACTGGGCAAAAAACTTCACTTCGGGATCCTTATCGTTCTTTTTATATTGCTTTGACGCCGGCCGAAACTTGGAAAGGTGCTTAACGCACTAAAATAAATCTTTCCAGGTTTTTTTTCCTGGATAGGTACAGAAGAAATCACGAGAGTTTTACTTGTTTCGAAATTTGACATCTTATACAAGGTGTCCCTTATAAGAATGCATACTGATTACTGATATCACAACACAAATGAATTGTGTTGTGATATTTTAAGCTAAAAAATTTTCATTAGCAGACCTTGCAGTCGAACGTTGTTTTTTTTAAATCTCTTTTAGTGCGAAGTGTACAAGATAGCTTAATAGCCGTAAAAAAGTAATCGCAACTTTATTATATTTTGAACAAGAAAGCGGTAGTAATGACCCTTTATGTCTCTTAAGTACTGTTAAGGAATTCAGCTTTGTTGATGTAAAAATAGCTGTTTATACAGGGTGTTTCAAAACAAATGCAAAAAACTTTAGGGGGTGATTCCTTGTTCAAAATAAAGGGTAGTTTGCTTTATAAACGTTGGGTCAAAAGTCAACCATTAGGGAGATATCGCGGTACAAAGATGGCGGAAAATTAATGTTTTTATTTTTTATCTTGAAAACAAAAAGAGATAGACTAATGAAATTTTATGGAAGCATTACTGTTATGAAAACACACTTTCTGGTAATTTTTTCACTTTTTTAAAATGAGTGGAAGGGGTTGAAATAAACTACCCCTATCATTCTTGTTAACGAAATTTAAAGAAAAATCTTATCAAACACATGCAAAAAAATTAATTTGGATAATTTAGTTTGTTTAGAAACTTTTTTATCTCTTGTGTTTTTTTGATAAAACTCACCGATTTGAAATTAAAAAATAAAATGTAAAGTATTACATGTCAGGACAAAAAAAAAATTTAGATTAAGAATCTAGTGATAATAACGATAATAATAATCATCTAGATAATAACCTATTGCAGTAGAGTAATGTCAAATAAAATAATATTAGAAACATCCTAAAAAGTAACAGCGGCCGACTAGATTTTTTCCTAAAAAAATTACAGCAGCCCACTAGATTCTTTATCAGAAAATGTTTTTTGTCCTGACATGTAATGCTTTACATTTTATTTTTTAATTTCAAATCGGTGAGTTTTATCAAAAAATACAAGAGATAAAAAAGTTTCTAAACAAACTAAACTATCCAAATTAATTTTTTTGCATGTGTTTGATAAGATTTTTCTTTAAATTTCGTTAACAAGAATGATAGGGGTAGTTTATTTCAACCCCTTCCACTCATTTTAAAAAAGTGAAAAAATTACCAGAAAGTGTGTTTTCATAACAGTAATGCTTCCATAAAATTTCATTAGTCTATCTCTTTTTGTTTTCAAGATAAAAAATAAAAACATTATTTTTCCGCCATCTTTGTACCGCGATATCTCCCTAATGGTTGACTTTTGACCCAACGTTTATGAAGCAAACTACCCTTTATTTTGAACAAGGAATCGCCCCCTGAAGATTTTCGCATTTGTTTTGAAACACCCTGTATATTTATAACTAATTTATTTTTGTTTTCTAAAATATTTTAATTGAAATAAAATATGTAAAAGTGGGCAACACTGTGCCGGTCAAGCTTAATCACGTTACTAAAAGTTTATTTGATATTAACTATTGATCAAAAAATGTTCTCATTTTCTGAAAATCTATATTTTTTGGAAAAAAACACGTTCTAGAATTTGTACACTGTTTAGTAAAACACACTGGCTAAACATTCCCCCAATTTTTTTTATGAAGAATGCATTTTTTTCAAAATGTCAATAATAAAAAAAAATCCTCTTGCAAAGACAATCCGGGAATATAGTGTAGTACTAATGATTTCCATCCCTTAGCTTAAGATAATATTAATACTCACGTATCATCATTTTGTTGACAGTAACATCCAAGATCACATAATCCGGCAGTCACTCTAGAATCCACCATCTCGTTCAGCTTATAAGCTTTTCCCCTCAAAAAACAATTTTCACTCGATTTTTTCAAGCCCAAGCAATCAAACTTGGACGGACACCTTCCCAATGTCTGGCTGTAATATACCGAGTTGTCATACGAAGCCTTACACCCCATATCTTCATACAGCAATGTACCGTACAAGTCACAATTTTCACCCCCTAGAAAAAAACGAAAAAAATAAAATTATTTTTGATTACATTTTATTTCTAATATTTATAGTACTTATTGGGTGGATTTGGTTGAAAAAATAGAACGTTGAGAGTACGGAAGAGACGAACAACACCTTGACCGTCATCTTTGAGCGATGGTGTTAACACACTGGCACGGTTTGGTGGTACCGGCACTTTAGCTATGCCTTTCTTTAAAATATTCATATTTTCTGCTGTAGTACCGGTGTACGAATAAGACGCAGATTGAATGAGACCGTCGAGTGAATGTATAGTGGAGTTACCAGAACAAATGCTATTAACAAGCGTCCATTGACCCAATTATACAGGGCAAGTCTTAAATAAGTGCAAATATTTTTAGGGGTGGTATATTTTGATGCCAGGAAACCAAATTTCCCATGTCAAAAAGCTTCCAGAAACCAATTTTCATCCAAATTATGACGTCAATTCAGAAATTATTTGAAAAAATCGAAATAGAAATGAAACTTCTACACCCTGTAACTCCGAAACTAAGCATTTTAGGACATACATCTATACCAACTTTTTTGCTTATTTTTATCTGCTGCCGAAATTTCCGGAGTACAGTTCGGACCACCCTGTATATATGTCATTTTCAGATTTAATATTATACTGCCATTTCGCGGTTTGACACTTGCCAAAATTCGAAGTAAAAAAAGTAGCCCTGGCAACATTGCGACAAATTACCTATAACGGATGCGAAAGAAAGCGACTGCATCGGAAACCGCTCGGCGATGAGTTTTGCACCGAAGAAAACATTCAGAGGCTGTTTGATATAATGAAAACTATAAAATTTGACCACCCATGTGAGAAATTTCCTCTTATTTACATCATTAAATTATTTATTGGATTGAAAATATTTTATGCATTAAAGTTTACCAAAAATAAAGATTTATATAGTCGAAAAAAGTCCGATAGAACCAATAGAAATTTAACTATTTTGTCACATCTTTAATTAAATTTTGTTAAATAAATTAATTTTTTATACTATAAATATCTTTTTTTTTCCTAATCTCCTACGAGCTGATATAATATGACGAGCAATCTATTAAATTACTGTGAGATTATACAGAAAAGTCCACAGACTTCGAGACATAGGAAAATCAAGTCCATTTAGCGTGTGTCCAAATTTTGACAAGTTTTCAAAAATGACAGTTTTGTTTAGGCTGACGTTTAATTTCACCTGACTTCTCGGTGAATGATTTCTTTTTATGGGGGTACATAAAATCTAAAATTTACGGCCATGAAGAAATTCAAAACTTGGAGCAGTTAAGGCAGAAAATATTTAATGCCTTTGACACTGTCACCCCTGATATGTTATCCAATGTGAGGAGGGGATTTTTTGATCGTTTGGGTTATTGTTTAATGCAAGAGGGGAGGCACTTTTGAACAATTTTTGTAATTTTTTAAATTTCATTATCCTGTTTTTTTACCGTTTACCCATTACCTACCTTGACGAACATGGGAAAACGAAGGTCCTTTTCAGGACCACAGATATTTTGATTGAGAAAATTGGTAACTTTTATTTGGATTAAAAAACAAAAGTGGTTAATATAATACCAATTTAAAAGTGTTTTAGTAGTTTTAATACACACTATGATATAAAATTTATTATTATTATAATGTACATTATTAATACTATTGTTCATTCGAAATGGCATTAAGGCCCAATTGCAACAATGATTTAAATTTTTCTTAAAGATAAGTAGAGCTTAGAATTAGCTGTACTTATATTTACTTTAATATTCACCTTAAATGAGGGAATTTGACTGATACAATTTTTGAATTTGAATTGTTTTTAATGATACTAACAATTTTAGTTCAATTTTTAATAAAATTTATTTAATATTAATAGAAATCCAAGAGATTTGAAACCTCTTTTAGCGATTTATAACATTCTCAAATGATTTACAGGTGCCCTTATTTTCTATGAAAATCACACAGCTTTTTTCATAGTCGCTGCAGTTGCTATAGCTATAAAAAACTATTTTTTTAAGGTGTGAAAATTGCGACACACGCTAAATGGACTTGATTTTTCGTATGTCTCGAAGTCTGTGGACCTTTTTGTATGCCTCGATAACATATTGGTGCAGATTATTTTCACTCAAACAAATAATAACCGAAACTATACATTGATGCGGATTGTCTATGAACTCTTTCTGAAGGTCACAGAAACCTGAACGCCTAATTCGGTGTTCTTTCGCATCTGTTATAGGTAATTTGTAACATTGCCACATACATTCGTCATATACTATTTTGATGACGTGCATCTCAATTTTTATTGCATTTACTATAGGTCTGCTCCAGTTAACATTTCGTCGATGGTTGAAGCTTCCGTTAGCTTGAGATTTTTACTGAGATTTTTCGACCTCAATGGTAAGGCAATGTGTATTGGCTATATATGGGGCAAATTAGAAGGTAACTGTTCGGTACCAAGGTTAATCAATGTCAATAACACAGGTATACAGACCAAAACACATAGGTTTAAAGAAAAAATAATTGGATGGGCGGATTTCGTTAATTTGTTTTGATGATGAATCTTTCCAAGAGTCTGCCTTTTTTTGGCTGGGTCTTATGGTGTCTTAGCCTTTTTTCTTGCAGATGACACATGAACTGATCGGTGATTCATTCATTATAATCAAATAATGTGTGATCTAATGAAAGTGACAACAGAATAGGCATAGAAATTTATAATATCATTGTATTTTTTGTAAATTTACTTATATTTTTATCAGTGTAGGCAAAATGATAGTTAGTTTGTTATAAAACCGAATGATCCCGTCAGTTCTATGGACGCTCTTCATATTTATAAACTTCAAAGGATCCTTTCAAAAATATATCCGTTTTTTAAAGATTATTACAGTGTTACTATACACTGTTTTCTTTAAATTTACCATTAAAAAGAGCCTAAAATACATTTATCTTATTTCTATATTCAGAAAAAAAATTGAAAAAACAACCAGAAATATATACTTTTTCCCATGTTTCCTTCATCAAACGTTCTTGTAAAAATAAAATGTCTCTTTTTTCCAAATGGTTCAGAATGTAATAAGACGCTATAAGTTTACAGAGTGGTTAAAAAATCTAATAAAATATACTTTTCTGGCATAATTTTTTTCGAAATGTTTAAATAAAATCAATGAGATAAATTCTAAATATACCGAAATTACACAATCCAGTGGATGTGCCATTGTTTAGTTATTATTGTTTCCTTGTCAATGTTATAAATTGAATTATTACTAACCGTATAATGAGCCGGTGTATTTGATTAGTAAACAATCGTTATATGAATATACATACGTACAAGATTTTTTTTTCAAATTTGAGTTGCGTTTACATTGTAGGTAAATTAGGTAAAAATAACAACATAGATGGTGTGTATATGTGATTACATAAATATACCCAACAAAATTTGTTCATAATTCATAATCATATTAAATTAATCTGCACATCATTTTTTTCATCATAAATAAAAGCAAAAATGAATTCAAGCAGTTCGACGAAACAAGTGAGTAAACAAAGCGTACGTTACATAATCAAAAAATTAAATAGACATACTATAGTCTGTGAAACGAATATATGTTACTGTAAATGTCCGAAATGTGGTAAAACCTAGAATAAGCGCGCTAAACCTAGGATTTACCAAAAGCATTAACTAATTAAGTTAGCCTGGTTATTTGGAGGGTCTTAATGCATTGGTTAGCCTGGTTATCTGGGGGGTGTTAATGCATTGGTTAGGTGGATATTTGGTGGGGTTGGTTGGTTTTTACTACCACTTGCTTTTGGTAAATCCTAGGTTTTACTGTATTTCGGACATTTACAGTAACATATATATTTAGAATATTTTATATATAATTTTTTGGATTATATTCGACACTATTTTTTTCATATGACACAACACTGATGAAGGCTATAATCAGAGTAAGCAGATCGCCGAGTAGCTCTCTCTCTTTTGACGTGTTTGACAGATAGACTACGTATTTAACTGCTCAACTTATGAAGTGGTCCTATAAACATGGTATACACTGCTCATAATTTGAAGTGGAATTAATTATAAAGTTTTATACAATTCGATGCCTGAGATATACTTGAAATAAAGTATATAGAGATATTTGATAAATGGCAACAGTGGCAACTTCGCTTCTTCATATGACAGATAACCTACTTATTTCGCGCAGCCGCAAAGAAAATTGAAAACGGGACTGTCGCTATTCGGCGGTTTACTTACTCTGCTATAATGTTAGCCGAAACATTTTTTTTTAACAAAAAAAAATGAAAAACCAAATGAAAACTTAATCAGCGTTTTTCCCGAACCTAAATCCCAAGAAAATCAAAAATTTTAGAATAATTTTACATATAAAATGACAGAGATCTTTATTTCATAGCCATCGCTGACGCCTTTTTTTCTATGATATTGTATTATTTGCAAATATAATTTTTCGAACATTGATACTTGCAAAATATGCATATAAATTTTGTGAATGTAAATAATAATACATCACTATTAGTAGATATTGAATGTTTTTTGTTAAATTAGATTTTCAAACCTCCAAATTTAAAATATATTTACATTTTACCCATTATCTTATGTACCTATTCATTATTTGTATATCGTAAAAACATTTGCTGCATTTGTATGGTTCATAGTTTATTTGCCAAAGTATTTATTACTATAAATAGGTTCATATATTGTATTTATTAACTGTATATTATGTATATTTCATGTAAACTATATCAATTTTAAAATACAAACCAAAAATACGAGGAATAATTATGTTTTCCATGTATTCTACAACATATTTATTAATCCGTAGTATCTAACTAGCGTGAGGTCATAAATCTCGCTCCGTGGCTGTTCTATTAGAGACGGCATTGGTCTGATATTTAAAAATGTTAAAAGCTGATAACATTTTACTTTTGACAATTATGTCATTCAAGTTGATTTTTGCAAGGAGAGGAAGAACTGTCACTTGTTTTATTATTTTCCTTTTCTATTTCACGAAAGTAAAAAGAGTTACCTATCTGATTCGTTCAGGCACTCAATTTAAAGAATATCAGTAACTTTTTTGACAGAAGGATTTTATATTTGCCATGTTGGAAAAAAATAACGGTCAAAATTCAAAGTTATTCATTTTATAGACTATATGAGAGGATAAAATATAATTTGAAATATTAA